GGGTCCCTGACCAATTCTCACTCCATTTAGTTTCCATTCCTCCCTCCATCGAGCCCCTTTCCAACTCCCTGTCACTCAGCATCCCCCTACCACCACACTGGGGCACTGGCTCCCCTCCCCCTCTGGCCAGTCTCCCTTCCAAGTTCTGGAACAGACCTGGCACTGCTTAGCGCAGGTTCTGCCCTTCCCCCTGCACTGGGGCTGCAGGTGCTGCTTACTTACCCCTCCAGAGCAGGATGAGGATCAGGACCCTCAGCGTGACAGGACCCCCTGCTCTCCAGAGGGGGCCCTGAGGTGGGATCTCCCTTTCCCCGGCATCATGCTGTGGCAGCAGAGCTCTGCCCATGGCTGGGGCGTCCGGCTGGGACAGACCTAGAGACAGACGGGGGGTGAGAAGTGTGAGAGCAGAAGCTGTTTGGGGGGACAAATCTGCCTGGGGGACCATCAGTACTGCTGGGCTCTGCAGGGGGCTGATCTGGAGCTGTTGGCAGCGCAGTGACCCTCCAAATCACCAGACTGTCCTGAGAGATCTTGGGCTAAAAAAATCCTTACATTGGCGGAAAAAAATGAGATTTTCTCTAAGAATCATGAGAGCGGCCAGAAAATCCTGATCTGGTGACAGAAGATGGTGGGAAGGCAGCACTGCTCCGTGCCTGCTTTGCTTCAGTCTTCCCACAAAAAACAACATGTGAGCGAGCGACCAGTGAAGTTACCACAGACGACAAAGGGGAAAGGCTGCAGATCGGGATAAGTCAAGAAGACGTCAGAGATGTTCCGACCAATTTGAATGAATTCAGATCAGTGGGGCGGGAAGCTGTTCAACCCAGGGGCTGAAGGAATTAGTCGAAGAAATCTTGGAGCCACTGGCAATAATATTTGCAAACTCATGGATTCCAGGAGAGGTCTCAGAAGACAGGAGAAGGACTAACAGAGTGGGCATCTTTAAAGGGGAAAAAGGAGGAGTCAGGAACTATAGGCCAGTCAGCCTGACCTCAATGCCTGGAAACCTATTAGAGCAAAGTATAAAACCTTCAATGTTGTAAAGGAAATCATGGCTCACCAAACTACTAGAATTTTTTGAGGGAGTCAACAGCATGTGAACAAGGGTGACCTAGTCCATTTACTTAGATTTTCAGAAAGCCTTTGACAAGTTTCCTCCCAAAAGGCTTTTAAGCAAGGTAAGGTATCCACCAGCGTTCTGTATGTGGACCAGTGCTGTTCAACATGTTCATAAATGATCTAGAAAAGGGGTAAACAGTGAGGTGGACAAATTTACAGATGATACAAAACTACTCAAGAGAGTTAAGTTCAAAGCTGACTGCGATGAGCTACAAAGGGATCTTACAAAACTGGGTGACTGGGTAACAAAATGGCAGATTAAATTCAATGTTAATAAATGCATAGTTATGCACACTGGGAAACATAATCCCAACAATACATATAAAGTGAAGGGGTATAAATTAGCTGATACTGCTCAAGGAAGAGATCTGAGAATCACTCTGGATAGTTCTCTGAAAACACCCACTCAATGTGCAGCAGCCATCAAAAATCAGTAAGAAAGGGATAGATAATAAGAGAGAAAATATCATATTGCCTCTATATAAATCCATGGTACACCCACATCTTGAATACTGCGTGCAGTTCTGGTGGCCCTATCGCAAACTGGAATTGGAAAAGGCTCAGAAAAGCGCAACAAAACTGATTATGGGTGTGGAACAGCTTTCATAAAAGGAGAGATTAATAAAACTGGGACTGTTCAGCTTGGAAAAGAGACGAATAAGCGGGACTATGATAGAGGTCTATAAAATCCTGACTAGTGTGGAGAAAGTAAATAAGGTAGTACGATTTACTCCTTCCCATAACACAAGAACTAGAAGTCCCCAAATGAAATTAATGGGTGGCAGGTTTAAAAGAAATGTAAGGAAGTATTTCTTCACACAACGCAAAGTTGCCCTGCCCCTGTAGGCTATCTGGGAGCCCCAGGGGGTCTGTGCCCCACACACCCCACACTTTGTGTTGACCCAACTCCATAGGGGGCAATGGAGTGAGCGCAGTTGGACTATGGGTGAGAAGTTTGCACATATGTGCTCAACCTGGGGTATCTGCTGTCCTTCCAGCCCAAAATTACCCATATGGGGAAGGGGAAACCCCCAGCAGTTCCATTTCCCACCATCCCTCTGCTGCCCTCAGGTGTTCTCGGGAAGGAGGCTGAGAGATGAGAGCTGGGGATCCCCCGATGTACGTGGCCCCCTGAGCTGATGCCTCCAGTGTGGTCCCCAGGGTCGGGGAGCCCTGGGGCGGGACCCTGCTTGGGCTGGAGGGCACCCTCAGAGCTGTGGGGGCAGGGAGCGAGGGCTGGAATCGCAAAGGGCTTCGGGTCGGGATTGAGGGGCACGCCAGTCACTACAGACCATTCAGCTCCCTTCCCCACCCTAGTTCCATTCACCCCTAGATCTGCAGAGGGGGGCCCGGCGCCTGGCTCTCCGACCCTTCAGTTCGGGTTCCTCAGGGTTTGTGACTCGGAGCCTGGGGAAGCGGCATGGACAATGGGTGCTGACAGGAGGGGATTGGGGGGAGATGCTCTCTTAGGAACCCCAGCACCAGCATCCTGCCGACTTCCCCGCCTTCTGGCTGGGGCTGCCTGTGGCTTCCCTGCAACAGGGGCAGGCTGCATATTGCTTATGGGGCTGGAACTAGATCCCAGCATTGCTGGCTCTGAGCCCCTCTACACCTCACTCTGCTACCAGAGCTGGGATAGAGCCCAGGAGTCCCGCCTCCCTGCCTCCAACCCCCACTGTAACCCACTAGACCCTGCTCCCCTCCCAGAGACAGGGATAGGACCCAGGAGTCCTGGCTTTGAGACCCTCTATATCTCACTCTCCTCCCAGAGCCGTGGATGGAACCCAGGAGTCCTGGCTCCCAGCCGCCTGTCCCAGCTCTATCCCTTCATTACTTCTTTTAATATTTGGACACTAGCAGCTCACACCTCTTATCCTATTGTACATGCTGCAGATGCTAATCACTCACCCCGAGCTGAGATGCAGCCACCTCCAGGCGGGGCAGCTGGGAAACAGCCACACAGCGACACTGCCCAGGGGTTGTTCACCCGGAGCTGAGATGCGTCCGCCTCTGGGGTGGGGTGTCTGGGAACAGCGCACTGGAACAGCAGGTGCCCGGTAGGACAGCTAGCGAATCCTGACTCCAATTTGAAGAGCCGGGTGCGTGTGAAGACCTGCCTGGGATGGAGCGGGCGCGAGTGTCAGGGCGTGGGCTGTGGAGAGATGTGAGATTTCAAGACAGGAAGGGGAAGTCAGCGTGTGATTCTGGCCGTAGATTGCCTTGCAGAAGCCGGTTCCAGTGCCTGGAGATCTCGGTGCCATCGACACAAGCGGGAGATTGTCACAGACAGAGGCCTGCTCCCAGGGACAGCCGGCTTCTGCCCCACTGCAGGGGGACTGGCTGGGGGTGGAGGGAATGGGGCATGGGGCCTTTCCCCTGTAGGGGCCCCTGGCTCCAATCTGCTCCAGGGTGGGGCACTGGCTGGTTCTGGGGAGTGGGGCCAGGGGTCCTTCCCCTCTAGGGTCTCTTTTATTCTCTGTCTCTCGGCTCCTCAAACGTCTTCCAGGTCCCGGGTCATTGAGTCTGGGGAATCCCTTTTCATGGGACCCAGGTGATCGTCTGGATCAGGAGAAGCAGCTGGATTCCACGGCCCACCATAGACACCGTCCTTCGATTTAAGAGCTGAGACGCAGCTGAATCTGTCCTGGTTCATGGGGGCTGTTTACACAGGGACCTCTCCCCAGGGCTGAGATATGGATGCCTCTGGGGTGAGGTGCAGGGACTGTTTATACAAGGACTCCTTGCCCGGTGTTGAGATACACAAGGGTTTGGGAGAAACCTAGAACTAAAAGAAACACAGCGCCCCCTAGGGGCATTGGGACCAGCTCCGATGGTCGGGCCCTCCCGAGTCTCCCACCCCAGCCAGACCCTGGCCCGCTCTGCCCCAGGCCAGTGGCACATCAGCTCTGCCCCCCATGTGTGGGCCGCGGCGACTGTGCTGGGAGGCTGGTTGCTGAGCGGATCTTCCACAACAGGAAGTTACCAGTTGGTGAGTTTGCTCCACCTCCAGCTCGTCGGCCCCTGTTCGGGGCTGGGCGAGAGCTGCGGAGTGCAGGGGAGAGGGTCCCATTGAGCAGTGGGGCGCAGCCGTTTGGTCCCCAGCCAGTGGCGGAAGGGGCGAGCCCGGGGCAGATTCCTGCTGGGACTGTGGCTTCCGGGTCTAGTGGGTTAGAACTCGCTGCGCTGGATCCATGTGGATCAGGGCAGATCCCTGGTCCTTCGGTGAGAGCCAGGGCAGGAACCCCGGTGTCCGGGTCGGCCCCTAGCTTGGTGTGGTACATTCTGCCTCTGGTTAATCCCCATTTGGTTTCAAACTCTTTTAAATTAGCTGCCCAGGAGGTTTCCCTCGGTTGCTGTTAAACAGATGCCCCACCTGGAGGTGACTGCATCTCAGTGCCAGCCGGGAACAGATCCTTATATAAACAGCCACCGCACCCCACCCCAGAGGTCACTGCATCTCAGCGCTTGCTGAGGGGTCCCTGTATAAACAGCCCCCTCACCCTACCCCAGAGATGGCCGCATCTCAGTGCTGAGCAAGGGATATTTGTGCATTGTATTGAGCTCAGTATATGACTTGTGTATTTTTACTGGATCTTGTGAATTACCAGGTTGAGATGCAGGGAAAAAAATGATTCACTGGGAAACCTTGGAACCACCAGGTCAATATTGAAATCTTACATTTCTGAAGATCATGGTGACTGGGGTCCGTCTCTTACAGATATGGCAGGGGAAGGGTTAATTACCAGTCATTATCTATCTATCTATCTATCTTACTAATTTAGATGTCTGTTTTTTCTGTGTCCTGAAAATATTTTAAAACATGAGGCAGGAATTCAAAAATGTGGGATATTTTTTGTGATCATTACTTTTAAATGTCAAAGATCTCTGTGAAATCTTTCTGAAATCCAAAAGATACTGTGATTAGTTTTT